ATAAGAACATAATTTTTCATTTTGATCTTGATGATCAAAAGCTTTTAAAACTGTTCCCCAAAATTCATGAGATGCATCAGTTAAGGGAAATAGCAAATCCACTGGATCTATAATGATCAAGGATGAAGGAGTACCACAAGGCAGGAAACTGTTAGGGAAACAGCAAATCCACTGGATCCATCATAGTGAGGCAATGAACGCATAAAGGACAGAAGCGAAAGGAAACAACTCCAATTATTACATGCAGTAAGAAGGTTTAGTTCTGCAAAGTTCTTTTAAAATTTACTTGATACTTGTATGCTAGTTTGAATCCATTGTCATGAATAATTTTAAAGTTACATTCCGCATAACCAAGACCAAGCCACGAAAAGTTGGTATCAGAGTCATACAATTAAACTCATAGGAAAAATGAATGGATAGTAGATTTTACGACTAATCCAATTAAAGTTCTTAATACAGAAGAATATACTAAATACCTTATGAACCAATCTCATAAGATATTAATGGAAATTCATGATACTGATAATATCATTAAAAAAAAACAAATGCAAATAAACTAAAAATAATGATTCTTGATTTTCAGGAATTATTAGAATTTGGACATTTAGGAACTTTACTAAAAGCCCCTATTAGAAATGAAATAAGAACATTAGAAAGAACAGAAAAGATTATTGATAATGAAATTAACAGACTTCTTAAATGAGAAGACCTATTAAAAATAGATTACCTCAAGCATGTAAAAGAAAGGAATTTGAGCGAATGCTTAGATTTTATATAGAAATCATAAATAATAGAATTACTTTTGATACAATAAATAAATACTTATTTTTCACTGATAGAAAATTAGGAAGACAACTAAGTAAAAATGATTGATTGTCATGCTTGTAATATACATATTCTTATTATTACATTTGAATATGTAATATATGAAACTTGTAAAGACATTTATAATGATTCTATATCTAGAAGACATAGATCAGCAATAACAAAAAATAAGTTAAGTATGATTACTGCTTTACAGATATATGAATATGATGTTAGAACATTTATCTTGCATTATATAACTTGTCATCATGGAAATTGATGAATGATCTAATGATAATGAAACTAACAATGAGATCTGTGAACAGGTTGAATCACAAGGAAACTTCTCAAA